GTGTTACGTGTACACCCAGCGAGATCCGGGAATACATTGAAAGACGACAACGAGAGATTGGACGCCAGGCACTAGGATGCCACAGCAGGGTGGCCAATCAACTTGTTCAAGGAGATCTCGGATGGTCCTCTTTCGAGGCACGTGAAGCCAGCAGCAAACTCGAATATTATGCCCGACTTCGACATATGAATGGAGACTGCTGGGCGAGGAGAATTTTCGTATACCTGCATCTAAAAAACGTGCACACAACGTGGAGGCGTCGAGTCATTCGACTTGGAACAAAGTATGGTGCCTTCTCAATGACCGACGAGCCATCTACAAAGAAAGACTGGGTAGCCAAGGTTAGAGGGCAGATAAAGACTGTCGAGGCAGACCGCTGGAGGGCAGACATGCAAGAACATTCAAGTATGCACCTCTACGCGTCTTACAAGACCGACATCGCTCCTATCCACTGGTGTGGAAATACGTTGGGAAGTCGGCTCCTCGCCGAGGCCCGCGGTGGTGCCTTGCGTACCCGTCTGTACGGAAGAAGATATGACACCAACGTAACGGACGTGCTGTGCAGTGCATGTGGTGATGCGGACGAAACTGTACAACATTTGCTTCTCGAGTGTCCAGCACTGGAACCTGTAGCAGGCGTCGGTACTCGCATTGAGCAAGCTCTTGGATTTACAGAAGAAACCAATTTTGTGGCGTGCGCGAAGCGGAGGCTCGAGGCTTGGTGGGCGATTCACCTGTAACGCTCGCCGAGAAGGCATTGCTGGAGACGCTGCTGCGAGACTCGTGCCAACAGATCGACTACTCCGACAAGGAGCGGGAGGCTCTGCTTAGGGTGAACGAGCGAATGGCAGGCAAGATAACTTCAATGCACATCACCATTCATGGTTTAGAAGATGCTTCCCGACGTAGCGCCATTGCTGCTTCCGAGGCAAACAAGGTGGCAGAGAAGGGGAAGGCGTTGGCAGAGGAGATGGGGGCATACCTGCTGGAGGAAGAGGAGAAACACAGGCAAGCCCCAGAGAAAATGTGGCAGGAGTTTGAGGAGAAGCTAGACTTGTCAAACGAAGCACCTCTTGTTGAGCAGGAGCGTGCGACGAAGGTGACAGAGAACGAAGCGGCGCTGACGCTATACAAGCGTCTGCTGCCCACTATGAAGGAGAAGGGGCTTCAGCGCAAGCAAGGCTGAGGCGCAGGAATGCGTGGACATGCTACAGAAAGCCATTGAGGAGTCCAAAGATGACCTGGAGCAGTGCAAAGCAAGGCAACGTTCGGACGTATGCGCAAAGCTCAAGGCGCAGCTGGACAATGCCGTAAAGGATCTCACCATCCCTCTGGAGGTGTCAAACAACCAGAAGTGAGATTTTGAGAGAAAGCAAAGAAGCTGAAGCACAGAGCACAGGACAACATCGAGGAGTGCAAGATGCAGGACAAGAGAGGATTGTCTAGGGTGAAGGAGTTGAAGAGGCAGTTCCAGACGGAAAGAAGACGGGCAGACAAGCTTCAGGAGAGACTTCAGGAAGTTCTCAACGGCACGAGTCTCGGGAGATCTGACGAGCTGTTTCGGCCCATTAACTACGAGGAGCGCCAGTGCGGTGACTCCAGCAGCAACAATACTCCAATTTCTTCTTCTTTTTTTCTGGGGGGGGGGGGGGGGGGGGGGGGGGGGGGGGGGGGGGGGGGGGGGGGGAGGGGCGTGTCTGTTTTGCAGACGCTCGTTGCAAAGAGCAAGCGCCGCATAAATACATACATACATACATACATGCGCTCGTGACGGTTGTGCGCCTTTGCGCTACGCGGTGAAACGGGCGCACGGTCGCACTAGAGCACTATATAGCTCCTTCGGAGCAGAGTAGCGCAATCTAGAACGCCGTCTCTCGGCGACTAGCGGCAAACGCCCGGAGGTTCCAACTGCGGTCAGAAATGCATGGAGAACGTGAGAAAATGGTTGTTTCTTCAGTATTGTGGGGATTTACGGAATGGCAATTGTTTTTAACATAATAATGGAACATTTTAGAATAATTTTCGCTAAGTTTTGTGCCACGCAAGGACGCAAGTTTTTTTAAAAAATTGCCTGAACGGCATCATGCAGCAGACGACACGGCGACGTCACACCATTCACGTGACCCGCTCCGGCCAACCCGAAAAGCCCATCTCCGCTGCGAGCAAACATCGTCTGCTTCAAACGCCATTGCCTTGGAAATTGCCTTCTCAAAATTTACACACGCATCCGATATTATTAAATCTTTGATAAAGTGTTTAGTGCTTTACTAACTTCACGACAGACTAGTTTTGAAAAGTGTGAACTCGCCGTTCATTTTTTAATCAGCCGTGTTGTGTCGATCTCCATGTATTCTCCCATAGGGCGGGCCGCCTCCTGGAACCCTGAGTACCACGTGACTCGCGCCGAGCCGCTCTGTCGGCCATGTTGTCGGCAAAACACGGGGTTCAAAGGATTGCGCTACTCTGCTCCGTAGGAGCTATATAGTGCTCTAGGTCGCACTAGCGACGCCGGCGTGCTGTCGTGACGGCTCTTGCGGCGCGCCGCCGTGTTTCGCTTGCTTTTGACGGCTCTGCACTCGGTCGCGCGTCGTCGCTCTCTGGGCGCGCTTATGGCGCAGGTCACTTGATGAACTCGCGCTCACTTTTCTACGCGCTTTTAAACTGCAGATGACGGGGCTCTGTAGCGCTTTTGAGTGTACACATTTGAAAAGTGATGGCAGTGAGGTCTTGTGAAAGTAATTCGGAATACGTAAAACCAGGGCCGTACCCAGAAAAAAATTTCGGGGGGGGGGGGGGGGGGGGGGGTTTTGGGGACAACGGCGGCCATTTTGAAAGTGTCTATTGTCTTATTTTCGCCTATGAATCATGTGCATTATTGGGGAGGAGGACAGACCGTGACGCCCCAAGCGGTTAACCTAACAACTACACGGATGGGGACAACAAATACAATGACGGAGCGTTCGGCCGACATAACCGAACGCGGCGTCAGCGTTCGGCTGGAGTTCGTGGTCTCCGGCGAAGGGGAGGAGGGGCTCTTTTGTTTCCACTCGGCCTGCATGAACAATGCAGCATGCACGATCCCAGCTCATCACAAAAGCCGAAGTGGGTCAAGCTCGCATTCTCTGAGGATAGATCCGGCACTTAACGTCGCTTCGTCGATTGTTAGTATTTTTTTTATT